TAGTATAGAGTGAAAAAATCAACAAAGGGCCATAATTCTGTTAAATTTGGTCGCAGCAAAAATTCCTTCCTTTACTACCATCTACACATTAAGGTTGTTCATCCCTGGAAGTTTAAGCAAAATCTGCCATCCGGTTTAAGAGAAGTTGCGTTCACAAAATTTCTACATAGTATATATAGTGAAAAAATCAACAAAGGGCCATAATTCTGTTAAATTTGGTCGCAGCAAAAATTCTTTCCTTTACTACCATCTACACCTTAAGGTTGTTCATCCCTGTAAGTTTAAGCAAAATCTGCCATCCGGTTTAAGAGGAGTTGCGTTCACAAAATTTCTACATAGTATATAGTGAAAAAATTAACAAAGGGCCATAATTCTGTTAAATTTGGTTGCAGCAAAAATTCCTTCCTTTACTACCATCTACACATTAAGATTGTTCATCCCTGTAAGTTTAAGCAAAATCTGCCATCCGGTTTAAGAGGAGTTGCGTTCACAAGATTTCGGGACGTACGGACGGACTGACGGACGGACGGACGGACGGACAAGTGCAACGCTATATGCTCCCACATTGTGGGGGCATAAAAATAAACAAATTACAGAAAATGGATGGGTAACTTGGATAATTTATTCTAACCACAGTACAACTTCTTAACAATCGATGCAAATTTACAGATTCACAATTATTGTTTTTAGTTCCACCAGCTTTTAAAAAGAATAAATTGTCCATAATGATCTTTAAGAAAATAAATATTGTTTTACACTCAAACACCAGGCACTGAATAAAAGGCGCTGAATGTCTAGCTCTCACCTTAGTTAAATATCATAATTATTCATCAAAGCAAACTTATACAATCTCATGATCAAGGCTTCTGTTTAATATCCCAGCAAATAGTTTCAAAACATCTTTCATCTTTGTCAGTTCATTATTAACTAAGCAACCATGGACCATGTCGTACTGTGCTGCACAGCTGCTGGAAGCTCACAAAACTGCTGCAGTCTAAGTTATATTTTAATGTCCAAGTGTTGCTAAGGTTCGATCCGTGGGTGAGACAAAATTTCGCTGTGACAAATTATCTCTGACAATGAGTGTAATGGTAATCCAACTCTCAATGCTAGCTCTGAAATCATGTGGTATTTAAGTGAGTCAATCAAGAAATTGGTTAGATATCAAGAAAATTTAGTTAGGTGGACCTTTACCATCCAAGTCAACTTTGTTTCAGTTTCAGTATATTGTCTGCATAAATGTCATTGTAAGTCACATAGACCTGGTGAGCTGCACACAGATTCAATCTAAGAGTCTTTCAGGTTTAAACTTAAGATACCGTACTGAAATTAATCAACCAACATGTCTGAATACAAATTGAGACATGTACATCACCAAAATTACACAGGGGAAGTGTGTGTAAACAAAAAATTTGGAAGTAAACTATTAGTGTATATATATAACTGTTGTTTTTCCAAACATTTAGATTAAAATATTGAAACAAATGTTTTCATATCACCACAGGCATCTTTCTTTAGTAAATTGATAAAACCTAAGACGGACACTGGCCTATACTTATACTGACCTCTTAAAAACCCTAGTAAAATATATTTTATATCAGCTACCTGAGGTAATAGACATAATTAAGGTAATTGATATAATATCCTATACTGTAATGAATACCATGTGAGGGTAATAAAGTTTTACACCAAAAGGAAAACCATTATCATTAGTTAAATACTTTATGATCCAACAAACATATGGTGAAATGTACAATGGGGAGAGACTAATAGGATGTTCACATTGAAGAGGGATGATTAAATGGTCCATTTTTATAACAAAGTAATAGACAGTTTAGGCCCAAAAAAAATGTTTAAACTTACAAAATCATTGCAAATGTTAAGATTAACCCATTCTAAACTGATTTTGTGATATGGAATAATGGCCCGCTTATTTTGAATTTAAAGGGACTCCTCCATTAAGGTTTTTTCTTACCATGAGGGAGGTGGGTGGTGGCAGGTGGAAAAACTTTCTGGAAATAAATGTACCATTTGAATTGTCAATCTGGATGTGCAAAATTTCAGATATCTCTACAACTTGATTGTTGTTAAATTAATTTTTATAGCACAAATTATTGTACTATGCACTGTTTCAATGGTATATTATCCCAAGTTTCATTGACATGTCAAATCATGTATGACATTATGATACTTAAAGTGTGTGTAGAGGAACTTAATACATCAAACACCGGTTCAGTTAAACTAATTTAATTAAAGATTTTACCAGTTTTGGTCCAACTGTACCTTCATCAGGTATGTATGATATATTTTTTAATTTCAGGGTAAAAATGTTTGCTGTGGTTGCATGTTCATCACTCTAAACAATATTTGCTATGAAAGAACAACTCCTATAACAACAGGAAGACAGAAGGCAATTAATTTGTCATAAAGACTAATCTAATAAAGACCACACACATCCTTAATTTTAGTTCCAGCAGATCTTTAAAATCCTTCATCTCTGACGTGGTTGCCTTAAATGTGACACATAATTCAAATCAACCAATTAGAAAGGTCCATTTAGAGTAGTCCTTCCCTGTAATAAAGATTATGACACATCTTAACCCTTATCCTGGTGGGACCAAATGTAATTCATCTTTGCCACAAATAAAGAGGTAAGCCAATCAGAACATCCATGCAGTCTGACCTGGCTCTATATTGCTGGTAAGTTCTTTTATGTACCTTCCTATTAATATCCCTTAAAAACACATTAATGGATCGTTAATAATTCAAGAGGGCAAACAAATGTTATCTAGAACTCGACAAATATGGGTTTTTCCATGCTAAACCCCTTGTAAAAAACAAACTTTTACCTTTATAGCTTTAAGGTGCACTATTGGTCACAATAGATTAGTCAATCTGTTGCGCTTTACTTCAATGCTGTAACTGTAAAAGTTTATTTGTACCCCCACCCCCCCATGGATTAGCTGGGAAAAACCCAAAATATTCTTTATTCCAGTCTCAGTAAGTCTGTTTCATCTTTTTCATAAATTTAGCAGGTTACAGGTTATTTGTAATTTCTGAGGTTTGTGGGAGTACCTTATTTTTTCTGCCTTAAATCAATTTCATTTTGTCATATCAGTTAAAATTAATTCAAATTTTTTTATAAAACTTGAATATGGATAGTCATATTGCTTTAAACTTTACTAATGCACATAACATAGTCTGCATGTGAACATTTGCCCCACACTGCCTTGGGTTTGAATCCCATCAGGGACTTTGCAGCTATACAGAGAATCTGTAGTTCTACTCAGGTGTCGGGTTCATGCATTATATCTGGCCTTAGGTCTAATCTTCCAGCAGTAAAGCTGGCAAGTCACCATTTGTCACATCTAAAAGTTGTTGTGACTTAAATACAACAAACAAACAAACAAACAAAGTGTATCATGTGATTTTACAATTACAAATATGCTTTGATTCTATATATACACATGTACATTACAAACTTTGCTTTCATTCTATATAAACACATGTACATTATAAAAAAATGCTTTCATACCATAAAACTTCATAAGATCGACTATATGAAAAAATTTCCCCAACCAACTGTTGCATACGGAAATGTCTGCTAAGATGAAAGGAAATAAACGGATTCAACCACTTCACAATCACAAGTTTCAAGTGCCTAGTCACTTCAAACAATCCTTAACATTACTTATATTGCACTGTTAAAAGTCTAGCATGTATACTCAAACAAGAAGATTTATACTTCAATAATTAGAACATTGTGAAACCATATAATGAATGTGATTGTTTATTAATTCTACTTCAGCAGCTTTTTATTGGCCTCTTTGCTGGGCCACAAGACCAAAGGAAATTTAAAGGCACATTTTGCCTCAGAAAATCAATATTTTTTTTATTCTTTAGAATATGTCAAACATGTGTTTAATTATGTTTAAATAATGGATTTAGGGTATGTTAGATGTTGAATAAAAACTGACGAAAGCAGCGCTAAATGTGAGTAATGTGTAATAAAGGTAGCAAAATGTAAACAAAGTAGTATTTTGACTTCCAAGCAAAATACTAATTCACTATAATAATGATACTGCTTACAAACAGAGCTGCAAAATATAGTCCAATTGTATATGGCAAATGAGTATTACTTTGAAAACTGTAACAAGATACCAAAAATGAAAAGTTTTTGCGAAATAAAATTTGTAGCATTTCTGAGGCATAATGGGCCTTTAAAATCTACTCACATAAATGTTGGCTTAAAACTTCTTGAATGATTCAACAAGATATCTTCCTCATATGAAACAATTGTCCACATGTACATTTATACCATATACATTGTTCTGGTCACATCATGATTTCCCAGTTTCATTGGTGAAGAAATTTCCGACTTGAATCATGCATTATATCAGAAATGTGTTTGTGATAGGGGGCGTGAAAGAGATGTTGCACTTTTACATTATCTCTCGTGATTAGCCAATCAAACCAAGTCTGCAATTTTAAATGAATAAGCTTTTTTTTTTAATTGCTTCTGAGGGTAAATCAACCCTTTTCAAAATTCAATGTCGACAACCTTAAAAACTTGGCCTTTTATGCAACTCAGTGGTCATAAAATGAAGATCATATCCATCTAAAAAACAAGAAGGTCTCCTTTTTATTCTGCCTAGGATTGGATAAAACTATAGGAGTTTAATGGGAAAATCAATGAAAGTGCACTGTACAATATAGCACTAAACCATGATGCAAGCAGGGGTTTGTGGTTCAAAATAAATTGTCTTCAATTTATATCATTATCGCAAAAACCAACACATCAGCATATGTTCTATGCCTATATTATAAGGAACTCCCTGGATGCCTAAAGACTCACTCGCTACCCATACTTTAGTCAACTGTTTTGTTAGTGACTGTTGAGTCAGTTGACACTGTCAAAATAAGAAATTAATAACGATCTACTATGATTGATACCAAATTTTATATGTTAATTTATGTCATGATGTATAAAGATAACTTACCTTATATATAAGTTAATGTATATAACTGTAATTACTCCCGGAGTTTATATGTGTGTATATACAAGATAGTATCATGAAGTTAAATATATTCACTTCAGGGCATAATGTCACAAACAAATCCATTAATCCACATAAACATTAGTCAGATTCACCTTTCCTTTGCATTTTTTCACATCAAAGTTGAAATAACACACTATTTATACACTATATAATCCAAAAAGTCCAGATTTCCAAGATAATGAAACTTATCGACCCCCCTTCAACAGGTGAAAATTCTCACTGTTAATCCACGTTCTAGAATTTCAGTATGTTTAATTAATTCCTCAAATTAATCAGGAGAATATATTAACCAAAGGTCTCAATAATCAAACATGTCTACATAATATAATTATCCCAGGCAAATCTAAATGCAAATCAAAGCCCAATTAATTACTCGTTAACTCTTGGTATGAGTTAAATAAAACTAAAATAAAACACAGTCTGGTTTACCAATAAATTAACCTCCCTCAATGCTGTATCAACATCCACTAATGTCAATAATTTCTCCTTTAATAAACTTGTGATATATAAATACACCACCATCAATGTAAACAATCAACATGTGAAAAGCGTTTCATTTCCGCAACCACTGAACTATCCTTGTAATGTATGTAACTTTGCTGAGTAAAATTCCTCAAACATTTCAACATGACATGTAGTTGTCTTACTACTGTTTAAGAAACAGAGCGAGAAAAAAATGGAGGGAAACTCTTTAGCAGCAGACGGCACTGAACTGAGTTTTCCAGGTAAAACTGCTCTTTCATCACTCTACCCCAAAGATTCACAACTCCACAAAATTTCTGCTACAATTTATTTTCTCCCCTCTGAATAAATTGCACTTTAAATGTTTTTAAGTGTCATTACCCCATCCATTTAGTAAACTCAGTGATGCTCGTAACATATATCAATATAGGTAGTGCATTTATAAATTTTCAGTTCAATTACAGAGTGACGTAAACTAGTTTCTTACTAAACAGCAAGTACAGTACACATCACAGCTTGAGCGTATTTACATTAAATATTTATATCACGAGCTTTTGGCAAATATTTCATAAAGCCTATGGAAACTTATCTATTTGTTTCCTAACAAATGGATTAGTTTGTAATTTTTTACATTCCGTTGCTAATTTGCATATCATAACTAACACTATAATATTCCACACATACACAAAATCTGTTAATATAACAATTTCATACCACAACCGATTATAATATATTTACGGAAAAAAAATGTCAATATAACAGTCCAGAAAAAAAAAAAGAGCGAACACTCAATGTCCAAAGTAATCAATACGATTATGAAGTAGTTTATCAATAGATGTAATTACAGCCTTATATTGACTAGTCAAACAGCCCTAGGTGCAATATAAGACACTTCACTTCTACGTTTGAAAACTAATTATAAACTCCTCCATTCAAAAAATTTATTTAGACACCTCACAATTAACGGAAGACATTTTTTTCCCCGCAAATTTAATTCTTACAGATGATAGACTTTAAATACAACGCACAAACACAATTCAATCTCATGACATTCGGTAATTCATTATCTAACGACAAAAAGTCCAATTTAAATTCCGAACAATAAGATCTATTCCGGTTTTATTTAAACAATGTTTATACACGGACACAATTCCGTTTATTATCGTGCCTTTTAGCACTACGATGTTAACTGACCTAAACAACAATGGTTGAATATATTATACATTCAACGACCAAAACGTTGCTGCAGCGTATCAATATTGTTTCTCTCTCAATTACTACAAATGTAATTTTTTCCACGTACATGGTGTACAATAATCACCGAGAGATCAGTTATAATGAATGTGTGTCACGATCAAGAAAACCAGTACAAATGTATGACCTGGACTTTCCACAAGTAACAAATAATGATTTATGTGGGAGAATCAACTCACTAATTTTGCGCTTAAATAATAACAAACAAACTTTCAAATGTGCAGATGTAAGTAAAAATAACAAGCTTTAATTGATAGGAAATTGTCAGCTTGGGATAATACAACTTTTCATCTCTGAACAATTAATTTTGCACTAAGTACACAAAATTTAAAGCATTTCTTAAACAGGAAGGAACTTTTTTCCTTAAACCATTTAATGTTCAGCTTACAGAATAAATTCAATTCAGATATGAACTATTTTGATTGATCATGTAGAGTGACCTTCCAGCAATGACATTAGGTGCACATCCATGCACTATTTCAAGTATGCTGACAATAGCAGAACATCTATCTCTACATAGAATTACTAATATATCTTTGCATTCTTTTTTTGTCATACACAACTGATATTATTTCCCTACTACAAAGGACATCCCTACTAAACAATCACCTCTCTATTAGTACCAAATCTACAAATAAAGTCTAATCAATATAATAATGAATTATGTCCTATACAGATTAGTTCTGATTCAACAACACATTTCAATCTTTCTGAACAACCTTTTCTCCACAGAGACAAAAATTCAAAGACAAATTGCCTTCCCTCAGCCTTGCAGCCCCAACCAGTTACCACCCTATCATCCTGAGGGAAAAAACACACCAAACACTCTTCCTTATAATAAATAGTCATTGTATACATGTACATGTATTCAATAAATGACATATTCAACAAAGTTTCTCATATCCTTTAAAAAGAGGAAGTTGACTGTAACACAAGACTTTGTACATCAAATAAATAAACAAACTGTTACATTATTTGTACTATAACGTTACATACTGATAATATGATAACAGACTAATTAGACAAACATATCTGCTACATAAACATGATAAATACAAAATTTACATTTATAGTATTATGGATTTAAAGATGAATTATAAATGAGGCAGATAATTGACCAGCCTACTGATTCTAGCAGTCTTAACCTGCTTTTTAAATTAACCCTGAACAACCTCTTCCACTTTCAATTTGGAACAGTCAATTGTTTATGAAAGGCATTACAGTATAAAATGTTAAAATTACAAAAAAGTTATAGAGCAGGGACGTTAAGGAAATTTAAGGTGCTAGGGTGTCTGAATCCCTAGTACAGAGTGAACTGGCTTGTAAGGCCATTTGCTTGGGACCAACAGCTCTTTTCAAGGCTACTGCCTTTTAATTTTTTCTCCGGTTACTGTACATTTAGGTTCTCATTTGCCACAGTACACTTCAAAATTCATACCTTTGGCTAACTCTGTGGAAATTGCATGGAGGTAAATAAACACTACTTTGTGCTTCAAAATTGAATCTTTCAGGACATGACTGGTGACTTGTCCGGGGTCTGTACTTGACAGCAAAAGTTGCTTTTTGTGCCCTTTAACAGGCAGATGGACCCACATTAAGCATCGACTACAGACAAGTTATAGAAGGATCCAGTCTTAGTTTAAGACTATACTTTGTGCACTGCAAGTCTGGCCAAATCAGTCTTAACACTTTAGGTTCCATTAGGTTCAGGGTAAAGAACTCTTGTTTATAACTCTCAAAGGTTGGTAACCTTAACTTCCAACCACATAATTTGAATTCTTTGTACTTCAGCATGTCTTCAACACTAATTTATACGACCCTTTAACATGTCATGGTGTAATATCTTGTTGAAACACAAAAAGTGTCATAACGTTGATTAGATTTTACATGATATAAACTGTATCAAGATTGTATCCTACAACAAGGCACTACTATATTGTTGACATGTAAAATGACCCTCTGACATGACATTTAAACCTATCCAAACAAAACCAAAAAGGGAAAAAAACAATACAAACATATACATACAACTGCAATTATAAAGTGTTTTTTTCTCATTACAAAATTGACGCAAGATTGTTATAGTGAAGAAAGAAAAAAACAAGACAATTAGCAGTGTGTATTTAACAGGAAAATAACAATTTGCATTAAATTTTGTCAATTAACCGTTTCTCAGGTTTTACAACTTTAATTAACCGCCTCCGTGGTCGAGGGGTTAGAGTCGATGACTTCTAATTCCGGTACCTCTCTGGCGTGGGTTCGATCCCCGGGAGATGCTTTGGTAGTTTAGCACGGAGGAAGGTAGTCTAGTACTGGTGTAACTCTCCAGGAACGATGGTTAGGAAACTACCCGCCTATATGACTGAAATACTGTTGGAAAAAGGCGTAAAATTAAACAAACAAACAAACAAACAAACAACTTTAATTAAACATGTGAATGTTTTGAAAAGTTAATTTACATACTGCTTTACATTTGAACATAAAACTTTAAGCCGGTGACCTTGACTTATGACCCTGTGACTATAAATATTTTAATTTATTAAATTTTCTAAAATTAAAATTTATTGAGAAAGTAATTATAGTGATACCTTTTCATTTTAATCAACTTTAAGTCTGTTACTTATAATCTAAATGAAGTGACAATCAATGAATCCAGATTTATATTCCTTGACCTTAATGAAGAGTGACCTTGAACACTGGGTCAATGCAGAATTTGGAATGATCTTAAACTTAAAATTGTTGCGAAATTTAAATATAAACACAATTTCAACACTATAACATATATCAAGAGCTGTCAATAGGACAGCATGCTGGACTATTCTCAGTGCTCAATAGTAAAAGGACAGCCTGGATAGTGTAGAATTTTAAAAGTTTAAAAAGGGCCATTAAAAAGTGACCTCCTATTATGCTTCAAAATAAGTGTGTTAAGTTTCAACTCATTCCTTTCAGTAGTTTTCGAGGTACTTACTTGCACCAAAGTGTGACAATAGCTCTCCCTGCTCTTTGAATATTACTGAGCTAAATATGTAAAATGTGTTGTCATGCAGCCTGGATTTTAAGAAATCTTGCACTAATGGCTTTATACAGTCAGCTTAATTTATACTGCCAATCAAAACACATCTGCTGCTTTAACAAATAGTACCAGACCTCTTAATCAAAACTTTCAAAAACCAATACTGTCTTTCTTTGTCTCAAAAAAAATCATACTGACAAAGTAATAAACACTATTTTTATTGCGGAGATCGTATTCTAGTGACTTTATGAGAATGATAGTATTGACGTATTCTAGTGACTTTATGAGAATGATAGTATTGACGGAATCAGGTAGCAGATTCCTGGAAGTTTTCACCTGGCTAACCATCAATAAGTCCATCATTCACATTGATTTTTGCAGCAGACGAAAATCTACTCTCTAATCAGATAACTGTAATGATTATTCATTGACCAGACAAAGCCACTGAGATTGATCTACTTAATTCTTCCCAATTACGGACAACAGACCAAGGTGAGACTGGTTCCCTGATTAAAATAATGAAGGAATTTGTATGTATTTTGTGTAATTTCTTTATTTACGTATTGAACACTTCTATGTGTGTGAAATTCTCCGAACTTTGGTCCATAAAAAACAGCTTTACTGGTGGAGGAAAACGTCAGGTGCCCTTCTGTGCATTATTTCAGACACAAACAGGCACTTGAGTAGAAACACAGACGTTTCGTAAGCTAGC